AACGTAATAGAAGTTCAATGTCAAGACTACGCTGCTTCAGAAGGTGTGTATACTCTTATGTAAAGATGTATAAAATATAAATGTACTTAAATTTATTATATATATTTTTATTCATTATTTTATTCAAATTCTGCTTTACAGGTGGTTGTAAGCATGCCATCGCTTTCCTTATGTGGGTACATCGCAGAAGTGAAGAGCCAGAACCAACAGCAACTGTATGTTACTGGAAAAAACCTCGGTTAGCTAAAGTCTCAGATAACGTTAAAAATATAAAAGTGAAAGATATGGTGAAAGTAAAATGCCCGACAGATAATAAAAGTAACTACGATCCAGATGATTTTTATAACTCATTGTTAGTAGAATTCCAGTCACATCAATTTGATTGTCAACTATCCAGACATTGCATCGATCTAAAAGTTAAACATCCATTATCGCTGCATGAAATGTTGATAACATTTTATACTTCCAATAATTTTACACCTGATGCGGATAGTTTTTTAACGTTTGCTTCTAGTATCATGACTTTAGATCTATGTGATAAAGTTGCTATAGACACGAACAATCAAAGTGAATGTAAACTTTGGAATGAGTTAAGATATAGTAGACTCACCGCTTCTCGACTCCACGAAATGGCACATTGCAACGTGTCCAATGGTAGTCTTGTTAATCAAGTGTAAGAAATGGCCAGTTCGCCTAGTTATTTTCCCCAGCAGTGGTATTTCTTTTTCAAGTTGGCAATTGGTAGCGCTTCCGTTCCGCGGCGCTAGTTGTTCTCGTGATCGCTTCGCGATTGGCGGACTCATCCCGCGTACGTGCTGCGCCCGCGCGACGGGCTACGTGAGGCCTTGGCGTCCTCTGATTGGCGCATGTGATTCTTTTGCCATAATATCGTTTCCGCTTGGAGACGGTGAAACAGTCTTAAGTCTTTTGTCAACGAGCGAAGATCTCAACTATTATGCCTCGCAAGTCGAGCGCCTTTTTCGTGTTACCTGAATAAATCTGTGTTCTGTTAATTGCTGTGTCTCACGAGTGTCTACCCTAGTTACGTTCCTCCAATATTCCTGACAAATATCTCTACATCCTTTCGCGGTCATAAAACCCGCTGGTAATATCCTTTCACAAGTAATAGGCAATACAAAAATAATGGATACAAAGTCAATGCGAAGAGGGAGGAATTTAGAAAAAGAAGTAATAAAAATTTTAGAAGAAAAACATAAACTAAGCCTTGATTCTTGCGGCTTATTATTAAATCCAGAGTTTCCTGCTATTGGAGCTTCTCCGGGTGCCGTAGGAGAACATTTTGTAGTGGAGATAAAATGCCCAATGACATTAAAAACTGAACGTGCCTATATTAGCTCCGATATGAAATTAGGAAATAAATGTTTCGCACAAATTCAACTTCAAATGTTTTTAAAAAATGTTCAAAAAGAGTTATTTTGTATGGCAAAACACGATTTTGAGACAACACATGAAATAATACCCATATGGATAGATTACGATGAGATTTATGTTAAACATTTGATACAAAAAGCTATGATCTTTTGGAAAAGCAGTATCTTTCCATTACTTCTTAAAACTGTACAGAGTTAGTTGTATAAAAACATTGTACAAATAACATGTGTTACATATATATATACTTTTAAAAGTTTTGTGAAGGAAAATAATTATACCCACATAGAACGAAAACCTCCAATGGACGTCCATTAGACATATTTCATGGAGATTCGGAACTTCCAGTGGATATCCATTAGACTTCCATTGGACGGCTACTTAAAGTCGATAGTTTCCCTTTGTGCACGTCCACTGGACTTCCATTAGACATCTCCATAGATGTACATTAGACGTTACATGAATTATTAATAAAAGATTTATGGAGCATTGATGAATGACACATGAACGTTCTATGGATCATTAATAGAAGATTCATAGAGCTTCGGTGGACGACGTTACATGGATCACTAATAAAGGGTTCACGAAGCTTCCAGTGGATGTCCATCAGACTTCCAATGGATTCCCAGATAGCACAAAGAATTTGAAAAGAATTCTTTTTTGGTCCCCAATTTACAAAATGAGTTTTTTTATCGTCCCATTTCTGTTCTAAAAGTATTCTTTAGGCTCTCAAGAGACTTCACTTTTATGTCACCAAAAGTGAGTTCTTTTTCAAATTCAAAAAGGATTTCATTTCACGTCCATAAGAATTCGTAATGAATTTAAATATCCACATACATAGATACACTGAAAAAAAAGATTT